GACCCTTATTCTGAATCATTTTTCTGTCATGTTGCATGCCTCTGTAACACTCAGTTGCTTTTCTGGCGAGTCCTCCTTTTCTTTCCTTTGGGGTTTCTTTGTCAACCCATGTTTGATCTCACTGACATATTTTGATGTTGAGTCGTTCAGTGGCTGCTCCCTGGGTGGCAGTGGCTCCTTGGGCTGTGGTTGTTCCTCGGGCGGTTGTGGTAGCAACTGCTTCTCATTTGGCAGCAGTTCCTCTGGTGGGTGCTATTCACAGCTTTGGTGGCTCTTTTGGCTGGTGGAGGGAGGCTTTACCTACAGCTGCTGATCCTCAGAGGGTGTGGTGATCAGGAGGCTGCTGTTGCTTGGATCTGCTGCGTTGATTTAAGGGCACATAGTACAACACAACAAGGCACCCGTCCTGGATCTTTTAACTCCAACTTTAGTGCCACAAAAAATTCATTCATCAGTAGTGTACCCAGGAAATGGGACAATAGGACAATGGGACAGAGGACTATAGGGAAAAGTATAGTTGTTAGTCAGTTATTTAATCTGAAGTGTAGTGGTTAAATGTTAAGGTGTAGAGTTAGATGTAACCCTATGAAAGGTTGAGGAATGGCATATCTTTCTAATGCTGTCCTGTTATTTCTCTAAGTAGGCTTTTTAAAAATAAATTGTTTTATTGCTTTCAGAGAGGGAGAGAGAGATAGAAACACCAATGATGAGAGAGAGTCAATGATAGGCTGCCTCCTGCATGTGCCTCACTGGGGATAGAGCCCACAACTGGGGCATATGCCCTGACCTGTAATGGAACCGTGACCTCCAGATTCATAGGTCGATGCTTAACCATTGAGCCACCTTGGCTTGGCTCTCACTAGGCTTTTGATACTTGTGTTTCAGGCTGACAGGATAAAAATTTATTTTTGTATAACAGTCTTTCCTTTTTATGCATCTGTAAGTTAAATATTTAAATTAACATTTTAATACTTTATGTTGAATCTAGAATGTAGTTAATTCCACACTGTAATTACTGTCATTAAATGATAAAATAGTTTCACAATATATTAAGAACTGGTAAATTACATTAACTGGGGAAGTAAGGAAATTGGACTTATATGTAGGTATTGATTTTTCATCTTTTAATACTTTAGTTTACTTCTTTTCTCTAATATGTCATCAAAATGGGATATGGGTGGACAAGAGGTGCATATCAGAAATTTACTAAAGGTACAATTAGAATAAAACCTTAGAGACTGAGGACAGAATCAGGACTTTTACTGATTAAGGACATTTCACATGAAAATGTTTTATGTGCTTTTAGTACTTGAGATTTCCTGATTTGATGTTTAAATACAATATCACCTTTTCTCCCAGCGGTTGAGCAAGAAGCCATTGACTCTAAACCAGAGTCCACTAGAGATGAAAACCTTCAAAAGCCTGATGTAAAGGATGATATGTCTAATCCTGTTGTTCCAAGCAGCTCTGTTTCTGAGAAGATTCCATGTAGTCCACAACTTTCAGATTTTGGACTTGAGCGGTACCTGATATCGCAAATTCCACCAAACCCTCCACAGGCAGTAAACAATCATAAGAAAGAGCCAAACATGTTAACTCCATCTTCCAGTCAGTCACCAGTTGAAGTACTAAAAACTCCTAAATGTGCACTAAATATGGATGATTTTGAGTGTGTGACTCCTAAATTAGAGCACTTTGGTATCTCTGAATATACTGTGTGTTTGAATGAAGATTACACAATGGGACTTAAAAATGTGAAGAATAAAAGGTAAGCAGCTTTCTTAAAAGGTAAAACTTATCTAACTTCCTATATCTTTTGTATTTGTTGATTTTTTTCCTAGAAGTATGATGTTCCAGACTGAGGTTTTCAGATACTTCTTATTTCAAACTTCCATGAATCACCAACTCTAAGTAAAGTGTGAGCTGTAGATTTTTTCAGGTTAGATGCTATAAAAGGAGTGACACTGGCCTGCGAAAAAATGATGTTTGGTAAGATAGAGAAAGAAGAATAAAATTAAAGGATTGCCCTGGCTGGTGTGTTCAGTGGTTAGACCCAAAGTATCTCAGGTTCAATTACCTGGGTTGCAGGTTCCATCCCTGACTGGGTTGGGGCATGTATGGAAGGCAACCCATGAGTGTCTTTCACATTGATGTTTTTTCCTTCTTCCCTCCTTCTTTCCCTCCCACTCTGAAAATCTATGGGAAAAATATCCTTGAATGAGGATTAACAAAAAAGTATGTGTGTGTAAATAAAGCTACAGTAAGTAAAACAGTATAAAACTGTCACAGAATAGACCTATAACTGGGACAAAATTGCCCAGAAACAGGTTAATTTATATCAGTGGTTCTCAACCTTCCTAATGCCGCGACCCTTTAATACAGTTCCTCATGTTGTGGTGACCCCCAACCATAAAATTATTTTCGTTGCTACTTCATAATTGTAAGTTTGCTACTGTTATGGATCATAATGTAAATATCTGATATGCAGGATGTATTTTCATTGTTACAAATTGAACATAATTAAAGCATAGTGATTAATCATGAAAACAATATGTAATTATATGTGTGTTTTCCAATGGTCTTAGGCGACCCCTGTGAAAGGGTCGTTTGACCCCCAAAGGGGTCACAACCCACAGGTTGAGAGCCGCTGATTTATATAATGAGTTGAACTTATTATGGCTTTTCCTTTAAGTCAGAGATTCTTAATCTACTTGTAAGTCAAAACTATCAATACAAAATGGTTCTTAAGCTTTTTTGAGCCATGTTTCCACTTTTTTTTCTTCTTGATTTTAGAGAGAGGAAGGGAACAGAAGGGACAGCAATATCATTGATGAGAGAGAGTCAGTGATCAGCTGCCTCCTGCACATACCCCCCCCCCCCTCGCCGCCCCATTGGGGATTGAGCCATAAGCCTGGCATGTGTCGTGACTGGGAATCGAACCTCAACCTCCTGGTTCATGGGTTGATGCTCAACCACTGATTTATACCACTGGGCTATACTTTTTTTTTTTTTTCTTTAATGTATATTTTAGAGAGGAAGGGAGAGGAATAGAGAAACATAAATGATGAGAAAAAATCATGGATCAACTGCCTCTTGCACACCCCCTACTGGGGATAGAGCTCATAACACTAGCATGTGCCCTGAGAATCGAATCATTACCTCCTGGTTCATAGGTCAGTGCTCAACCTCAGCCATACCAGCTGGGCTGGGCTGTACATTTTTTTTTAAAAAAAAAACCACACAATTCTTTTAGCCCTGGCCGGTGTTGTTCAGTGGTTCAAGCATCAGTCTCCACATAAGGGGTCCCAGATTCTATTCCAATTCCCAGTCAAAGGCACCTACCTGGGTTGTGGGCTCGCTCCCTGTACCCAGTCTGGGTGCGTCAGGAGGCAACCAATCTATATGTCTCTCTCTCTCTCCCTCCCTTCCTTCTATTCTTATTGAAAAAGCAATGGAAAAAATATCCTCTGGTGAGGATTAACAAAATCTACACTAATAAAAGAGAAACATGGTAATTGACGTACAACTGCTACCCTTCCCATTGGCTAATCATCGAGATATGCAAATTAACTGACAGCCAAGATGGCCGGCAGCCAGGCAGCTTAGAACATGAGGCTTCCTTGCTTCAGTGACAGAGGACTCCAACATTCCCTGCCTGCCGCTGCAGGCCTCTGAGCGGGCAGTTTGAAACATAGTAACATACAGAAGCTAAAAAAAACTCCAGAAACCTGCTTTCAGCAAGTGGGATCTCAGAGCTGGAGTCAGAGCTGGAGTTATACATTGTTTCGATTACCTACTTTCAGCAGCGGAGGCCTAAGAGCTGGAGCCTCAGAGCTAACGCTGGCCCCATGCTTTTGTTCCGGCCCTCCGGTACAGTTTAAGAACCCATTGTGGCCTTCGAGTCAAAAAGTTTGTCCACCCCTGCTCTAGAGGGCGCCAAAGAGCTTAGGAGAGTGTATGGGTTAGGAACAGTTGGGTGTGAGAGGCCTCAGGACCCTGGAATCAGCGGAGCCGAGAGGTGTCCTGGCCCCGGGATCAGCGGAGCAGCTAGGCCTCCCAGCACCGGGATCAGTGTGACGGGGCAGAGACCAAACCCCTGATCGTCCTGCAGGCTCTGGGTGTGACAGTGTGCGGAGCCCCAACCCTCTGATCGGCCCTGCTCTGTGTGTGACGGGGAGCTCCCCAACCCCCTGATGGGTCCTGCTCTTTGTGTGACAGGGTACAGAGCCCCAACTCCCCTGATGGGCCCTGCTCTGTGCGTGACAGGGTGGCGCCGCAACCTCCCTATTGACCCTGCCTTGAGTGTGACGGGGCAGTGCCCCAACGCCCCAATCAGCCCTGCTCTGAGCCCGACCAGGGGCTGCACCTAGGGATTAGGCCTGCCCTCTGCCACCCGGGAGCAGGCCTAAGCCAGCAGGTTGTTATCTCCCGATGGGTTCCAGACTGCGAGAGGGCACAGGCCGGGCTGAGGGACCTCCTCTCCCCACCCCGAGTGCACAAGTTTTTGTGCACCAGGCCTCTAGTAAATAAATAAAAATAAATAAAAAATAATTCTTTTAAAGAGAGAGAAACATCAATCAGTTGCCTCAAACTCACAACCTGGTATGTGCCCTGACCAGGAATCAAACCTGCACTGCTACCTTTTGGTGTACACGATGACACCCCAACCAACTAAGTCATAAAATAGGAGTGAATATTCCTCCAGGCTTGATGATTTATTGTAAGATTAAATTTTCCCAGAGGTTTAATATTAACTTTTTTTTTACCTTATAATTTCCCTATTAATCATGCCAGTGAGGAAGCTGTAGAAACAGAACCAGTGTCCAGTAATAGCACCACTGCTAGCCTCATAAACCAGCAATTGGAAAAAAATGGTAAGTATGAAAATCAAGTTACTTCTCAGCTATGCTCTTTCCAGATGATATTTGTACAAAAGTGATGCACCACGTACATATTCTAATAGCCTTCTGCATCTTTTCAATTGGTGTCATCCAGTTCTGTTAAATACCACCATTCATTTCATTCATGTTTAGCATGATTTCATACGAGAGAAAGATAAAATTTTCTTTCTTTTTATACTCTTCCTTGTTATATCCAGTATTTGTCAGTTTGTTTTTAACATTTTAACTTAAAGCATATAAATATACATTCATTCACCAATTTTTTGATATAGAGCCAATAGCACCCTTTTTAAATTTAGCCTCAGCCTATTGATTAGGGTTCTACATTATCTTACAGAAACAACACTCGGAATACATCAGCTACCATTCAGATTTTTTTTAAAGAGTACAAGAACTTAAAGAAAATTTCATGTAGTTTTCTCATATTTGTCCCAGCAAACTGAAAACACTGGTTTTCATGAAAATATAAAATAAAAAAATTCTAGTTTTATTTCTTTGAATAATTATTTATACTTGTCTGATCTATACCAAATTTATTGGCAAATCTTTTAAAGTAACTTGTCTTTATGAAGTCTTTCCAGAGTTTTAGACATTATTTTCAGAAATATTCTCTTTACTAATTTCACTGACTTGTTATTAAATTAACAAGTACCTCTGGCATAAACAGGTGTAACAAAATGCAACTCATTCATAGTAAGCTTAGAGCTTAACTTATAAGAAAAAACATGACTATATTAAAGAGTAGCCTGTTTTTTTAAAAAGGAGAGAAATTGGACCACTACCTTCCATCATACTCAGAAATCATTTCCCAGTGGACCATAATAAGGGAGACTATCTTTTATGACTTCCTGCCTGAAAAATTTCAGTGGGCCATCAGCAGTATCCTATATAATAAAAAGCATAATATGCTAAGTGTCTGGTCATCTGGTCGGTCATTCAACCAATCAAAGTGTAATACGCTAATGATATGCTAAGGGCACTCAGCCGCTCGCTATGATGTGCACTGACCACCAGGGGGCAGATGCTCCCACAGGTAGGTTAGCTTGCTGTTGGGGTCCGGCCAATCAGGACTGAGCGAGACTGGCTGGACACGCCCTGGAGCCCTCCTGCGGTCCCTCGCTTGCTGGCCAACCTCAATCAGTTGCCTCAAACTCACAACCTCCCATGTCCCTCCCTGGCCCTGATCTTGCACCACTGGGGTCCCTCGGCCTGGCCTGCGCCCTCTTCCAATCCAGGCTGAGGGCTCACCCCCCAGCCAGTGTACGAATTTTGTGCACCGGGCCTCTAGTCTTATGAAAAGAATTGAAAGCTTACGTTTACCCATTAGTAATTTGGTTAAGTGGAGGCTTATTAAGAGAGTTTATGTTGTATTTTTGTTTGACCCTATTTCTACGCCACAAAAGCTATTAAAATTTTTATAGTCTACTTATTAAAAATTTAGTAATTTCTTTACCATTTTTTTTGTTTGACATTGCTTTTTTTTTATTTAATATATTTTTATTGATTTTTTACAGAGAGGAAGGGAGAGAGATAGAGAGTTAGAAACATTGATGAGCGAGAAACATCGATCAGCTGCCTCCTGCACATCTCCTACTGGGGATGTGCCCGCAACCAAGGTACATGCCCTCGACCGGAATTGAACCTGGGACCTTTCAGTCCGTAGGCCGACGCTCTATACACTGAGCCAAACCAGTGTCGGCGCCATTGCTTCTTATAGTTCACTCATTCCTCTGGGTTTAGTTTTCTGGTTAAAGTACTGCCTTTAGCAGTTCTTTCAGAGATGGTCTATTCTGTGTTAAATAATCTCTAGTTCTGGATGACCCCCATGGGGATAGAGCCTGAGACCAGGGCATGTGCCCTGACCAGGAATTGAACCAGTGACCTGTTGGTGCATGGGTCGACACTTAACCACTAAGCCACACCAGCTGGGCTTTCACTCATTCTTGAATGATAATTTAACACGATATAGGTGACTAGATCAACATAGGTCTTTCTTCAGTATTTTAAAGAAATTATTCCATGTGATCTGGTATCTATTGCTGATGAGCAGAGGGCTATTGGTCTGATTAGCTTTTCTTTATAGAAAATCTCTTCTTTTTGGTAGCCTATAAGTTTTTATCTTTGACATTCTTCATTTCTCTATAGTATGTTTGTTTTCATGTATTATGTTTATAATTTCAGATGATTTTTTAAACTAAGGACTCATCTAAGTCTGGAAAATACTGACATTATCTCTTTAATAATATTACTTTCCCCTAATTCCTCAATTTTTTTCTCCTGAAATTTCTGTAAGATATACACTGAGTGGCCAGATTATTATGACCACCTGACATTTGTAGGCAAATTAGCTATAATTTCACGCTGAAGTTGCTAGTGGGCCAGACCATTATAAACGTCTGACGAGCACAACATACCTAAGTGGCGATGCTGATCAAGTTCATCCTATCATGTTGATGGTGTATCCCAATGGAGATGGCTTCGTCCAACAAGACAATGTGCCATGCCACGGTGCTCATATTGTGCAGGAGTGATTTCAAGAACATGAGGGAGACTTTACCTTGCTTACATTGCCCCCACAATCACCAGATCTCAATCCAATTGAGCATTTGGGGGACAAAGTTAAAAGAGCCATCAGGCAGCTGGTTCCACAACCATCAAATCTCACAGAACTGGACAGTGCTATTCATCAGGCATGGTGTCAGATTCCTCGCATCACCTCAACATCTCGAGTTAATGCCAAGAAGAATCGCTGCAGTATTGAAGGCAAAAGGTGGCCCAACGAAGTACTGCTGGGGTGGTCATAATAATCTGGCCGGTCATAATAATCTGGCCTCTCAGTATATATTGAAACTTACCCTTTAGCCTCCTCAGTTTAACTTCCATTTGATAGCTTCCTTCCCTTTTTCTTTGCTACTTTGTGCTTTAGACATCCTTCCAATTGCTGTTTCTTTCTTACACTGAGTCTAATTTATTATGTTAACCGATCACTTGAATTTTTACTCTAATGACTACATTTTTTGTTTTATAAGTTTTTTCTATTTTTCCTTCTGTATTGCTCTCTTGCCTTAGGATTTCTATGCCTCCATTTATCTCTTTGAACATTTTAAACAATTGTATCTGAAAGACTCTTAATGTGTTCATTCTCTTGTTTATCACTTTGTCTTTCTTGGGGCTTGTTTCCTCACATGCCTTTAATTTTTAACGCATCTTTTTTTTAATTAAGTAATTATTTTTTTATTGTTTAAAGTATTATAAATAGTAGTACATATGTCTCCTTTTTTTTCCCAATTGACCTTCCCCCAGCCTCCCCTACCGCCCCTTGGCACATGCCCTCACCCTCCTCCCAGTGTCTTGCGTCCAGTGGTTATGCTTATATGCATGCATACAAGTCCTTCGGTTGATCTCTTACCTCTGCCTCCCCACCCCCCCCGCCATCCCTCCCCCGCTTTCCTGCTGTACTTT